AAATATCCACAAAGCGTTTCACCTACAAGGCTTTATCAAGTGGAGATAACACAGCACGGTTTGAGATTTAAAAAAAGAAAAACTGATAAAAGGGTGCCATGTGATTATCCTAATCATGAAATGCATGTTTCTGTCTTGTGTTTGTTTTGTATGTTAATCACAGCAATAAATACACAGAAGAACAGTAAGGAAATCTGGGACAAAGCAGAAGTTACAGAAGAAATAAATGACATATTTGACCAAAGAGTACAACCAGAGTATGTTACATTTCTATAATGTTTAGAATCATATTATAATCACAGAGTGTATTGTGTTCACTAATGTCTATTTGTGCTATTTATAGATATGAGATTATTTTCAAACAAAGGGTAGATTCTACAGATGTCTTTCTGGGGTTTTCTCGAAAGAACCCATCAACAGCATGCTGTGAGGATATGTTGGTAAGTTAAGGGACCATGCTTTACAACTCTTATGTTTTCATATTGTTCTTATGGACATAATTCAGCAAGATTGAATGTACCTGTATGTTCAGATTGGATCTGTCAGAATTCTTGAAACAGTATCTAAGCAAAACACTCTTGCAGTATAAATAATACAAAATCTCTTTGTGCATTGTTTTAAACTAAACCCTGTGCATACTGACTCCAAGCACCATGACTGTCATGAACAGGGAGCATGAGTCATGCTGTGGAAATATTGTTAACAAATGTGATAAGTTTAATGGATACATGAAATGGTTACCTAATAGGAATGGTATGACTGTTCACAGCACAGGGAGGGTTAATTTGTCTGCTACATCAAATATGTTATGTATAAGATCACAGGAAAAGGTGCAAATAAAATTCTTGCATTTCTCTGGCCATGTGTGTAACTTTGTGGAAACGTACACATGAATGTCTTTTGGGTACAGACTTATTGGCTGCATTGAATTTGACTTTTGCTTAGCAGACCTTGGGCCCCTTTGATATTTTAACTGGCAATTAGCACTCAGAAGCCTTGCTCTCTACTAGGAGTCAAGACTCATATCCAAAAAATATTAATACTAATCCAAAAATGAATAAGCATGCCTCCTGTTAAGCATTGTCAGAATGTTAAGGGTATTCTCTAGAAAAGATATACCTCAAGCCATTTGGAGAAATTGGGGAAGTCAGCTACTCTAAGTTGCAGACAAGTCTTGTAAAGTGTCTGGAACAAATACGCTGTGACAGTTACACTGATGTAAACATTTTTTCTGTACCAGGTTTACAGCTAAAGATATTTTATATAAATTGGTGGATAAATCCGCCAAAGGTGAGATGGGAAGTGTAATCAACCTAGACTTTCTACAGTCACACCTACCCTCTGCCCTTTGGCTTATAAACTCAAGCTGGGGGAAAGGATTTAAAGTCCATGAAATGTAAATGCAGTATGTGCTTACATGTAGTCAAAAATTCTATCTTAAGTGAGTTGCCATTTTCCCTGCCAGAATTCCACCTAGAGCAGGAGAGAAAATTAGTGTAATACGGCACCCAGTTTGGGAGCCGCTGGGGTAACCTAAAGCATGCCATTTATAAATTGTCTTAATGTAGTAAAAAATATTGTGGCAGCTTTTGATATTCGAGTTGAATGTGGTGATGTTAAGAGGGATTTTTTATTTTATCCTTATTTTTGGTCTAGTGCAGACAAATAGTGATTGAGATAGATATAGATATATATATATATATATATATATATATATATATATATATATATATATATATATATATATATATATATATATATTATTTATTTTTATTATTATTATTTTATTTTTTTTGCACTTTTACCCCAGACCTATGTCATGGGCAAGCTTGGGGTGTTGTGGTGTGTCATTCAAATCATTGAAGTGGTCATAGTGCGTAGAGTAACTTTTTAAAAAGCCTAGCGGTAGACCACTGCAACTAATAATTATATTTGATTCTATTATATGTTATATAAAATATATATGAGCAGCTCCTAAAGCTATTTTATTTATTTTCCAGTATGTTAAAGGAACATTAAAGGGTCAGGAAGACAAACATGTATTCCTGACCCTATAGTGCAAAAACCACCATTTAGGTGGTTTGTCCCCCCCCATAAAAGTTAGTAAAACTCACTTTATTTCCAGCTCTGCGTGGGTCCACCGGCGCTGGCCATGCCTCCATGGGGAAAGCATTGGATTGGCTAAAATCAGCAAGGAGTTGGGGCCAAACGCCATTTTTGCCAATCAGCACCTACCCATAGCGATGCATTGAATCATTGCAGCTCTATAAGGAGAATTATAGCCTGTTGACTATAGTGTCCCTTTAAAGCGGCTCTGTAATTTCTTGATTTTTAAAAAAAATCATGTGTTTGGTTTCATTTTAATCACAACAATAGACATAAGACAATGTAGAAACTACTTTTTAAAATATACTTAACAAGGGGGCGTGTCCTGGACTCGGAATGAAGCGGATGCATGTGCTTGCAGATCTGTATCTTTAAGGGCTGTTAATGATCAATTACAGCACGATTGTACAAAAATCTTCTAGCAATGTCACAGCCTAAGGGGAAAAGGAGTGGGGGGGGGGGGAGCAAATTTCTTTGCCTCCACATCCGGTCAAGGGCGAGCATTGCAGCAGATAGAAAAGGCCCAAGATGGTGCAGATGAGGAGCACGGGCTCACCTCACAGTCTGCAGAACAAGACACCACGCTGATTCACAGCTCACTGAAAAGCCTCATGGACGAGATGTCCAACAAAATCCTATCAAAATTGGATACAGCCATGAAAGATCTCTGCAAAGACCTGCACGATCTGGGCAGCCGCACCTCACATGTAGAGGGTCAGTTGGTGGAATTGGCGGAGGCGCACAACACTCTGGCGAGCAAAGTAGAAGGCCTAACCTCCAGACTGGATGAACAGGATGTTAAGCTAGCGGACATGGAGGATCGTACCTGCCGGAATAACCCGCGCATAAGGGGCATCACCAAAAGTGTGGGTACAGAAGACCTTACAGCCCATGTCACGGGCCTACTGTGAGAATAAGTACCGGACTTACCCCACGACCTGTTCCTCCTTGATAGAATCCACCGCACCGCCAACCTGAAATTCCTACCACCGTACACACCTCGAGATGTGCTGATCCGGATGCACTATTTTCATGCCAAAGAGGCTGTTATCACTGCAAACAGCGCAACGAACTGCCTGCTACCTATAGATGGACGACAATCTTTGCGGATGTCTCGGCATATACCCTGAAGCGCCGGTGGGAATTCCGGAGCGATCACCACGCAGCTGAGAGAGCATCATCTCCCCTACAGGTGGGGGTATCCCACCAAGCTCCTGGTATCCAGAGAAGGAAAAACCATTATCATTGCTACACCGAGGACGGAGACCACATACTGCCATCCTGGGACATTGCACCACTAGATCAACCCAGCTCAGAGAGGGACAAAACCAGAGTGTCGCCGAAGTGGAAGAAGGCGAGGAAAAGATAGGATATTTCGGACTAAGAGAGTATATATCCTAGCACTCCTCGTTACTACACTCCTGGATGACCAAAACTTACCGGGTCAAGGTAACGTAAATATATGAAAGGTGGTCAAGTGGTATGGGGGGATAGCAGGAGATCGAATAGCATCTGATCACATGTCCAAGAAAGGCCCATAGCAAGACCCCACAAACGCAGACGTTTTTGGGATCCATTAACCAAAAAAAAAAAACACGAAACCAACAAAAAAAAAAAACACCCATTGGTATGGAGAATATGGTCATGGATATTTTCCCTATTCCGCTGGACCTACGGGGATGATACTAAGAGTACTGCGGGTTCCACATCTCGGCTTGTTCAGGCTGGGGAGAGCGGTGGCCTCCACAATAATGAAACACTTTACACAATCCACCGAATTTCAACCCAGACAACCACCGTGAAGATATGTACCTTAATGTACGTGGACTTAATGTCCCAGTGAAAAGACATCTTCTCAATCGAGGCAGCTCCCGGGTCACAACCGCCGTCACGGGATCGGCAGGGACCCAGTAAGTCCCCTGGACGGCAGGGATGTTCTATGCCACCCTCCGGCGTTTAGGACCGCCCAAAAAAAAGGACGGCATAGAACTCCCGCCGTCCTTAAGTAGTTATAAATGGTAAAAGTAATGTACTTGACAATGTAAAGCAAAGTATAAAGAGCTTTAATAAACTTTTGCTTAAAGGAACACTATAGTCACCTAAATTACTTTAAGTAAAGCAGTTTTAGTGTATAGATCGTTCCCCTGCAATTTCACTGCTCAATTCACTGTCATTTAGGAGTTAAATGACTTTGTTTCTGTTTATGCAGCCCCAGCCACACCTCCCCTGGCTATGATTGACAAAAAACTAATTTACCTTAAATAATTGTATCTCAATCTCAAAATTGAACTTTAATCACATACAGGAGGCTCTTGCAGGGTTTAGAAAGCTATTAACATAGCAGGGGATAATAAAATCTTAATTAAACAGAAATTGCAATAAAGAAAGCCTAAATAGGGCTCTCTTTACAGGAAGTGTTTATGGAAGGCTGTGCAAGTCACATGCAGGGAGGTGTGACTAGGGTTCATAAACAAAGGGATTTAACTCCTAAATGGCAGAGGATTGAGCAGTGACTATAGTGGCCCTTTAAGTATCTTGCCAATTCTCTCTATCTGTTACTTGCAATGGCTATCAGATGCCTATTTATCTAAATCTATGGAGGATCCAATAGTATCAATGAACCTTCCATAAACTTCATCACACTCTTTACAGAATAAGTCAATGTGCATACCTTTCAGCTTTCACACACTAAAACTACATACAAATACAACCCTGCATTCAAACTCCAACACTACACATAAATACATGCTTGCAAGTACGCCAACATCACAAATAAACAATAACCTGTTTACATTCAAACACACAAAAGCAGCTTAGTGCTAAATACAAACTTTCAAACATGGGCATAGGCGTGCGCAGCCTATTGCCGCGTATATATGTGTGTGTGTGTGTGTGTGTGTGTGTGTGTGTGTGTGTGTGTGTGTATATATATATATATATATATATATATATATATATATATATATACACACACATACACTGCTGTGTGTGTGTGTGAGGGTGCTGTTAGTGTGATGTGTGTGTGTGTGAGGGTGCTGGTAGTGTGCTATGTGGGTGAGGGTGTTTGTGAGGGTGCTGTGTGTTTGAGGGTGCTGTATGTGTGTAGGTGCTGTGTGTGTGTGTGTGTGTGGATGCTGTATGTGTGTGTTTGTGTGTGTGCTGTATGTTTGGGTGATTTGTGGGGGTGGAGGTGGGGGCAGATTAGTTAGTAAATATCCCCCCTCCCTTCTTACCTTTTGTAGGGGGGGGCGGGGAACTGTGCTGCTGCCTTCCCTCGTGGTCCAGTGGAGGTGGGGGCAGATTACTTAATATCCCCCCTCCCTTCTTACCTTATGTAGGGAGGGGGGATTCTTATTGCTGCTGCCTTCCCTGGTGGTCCAGTGGAGAATGAGCTCTAGCCTGCAGGGCTAGAGTACACTCTCGCGAGATCTGATTGTTGCCACGGCAACGCTCAGATCTTGCGAGAGGAACCCGGTGGCGCTGCTGGCTAGAGCTCCCCGGGTCCTCTCCTGCCTCCCTCCCTGCATGTGGGACGGTGAGGGAGATCTTTGATCTCCCCACCGGCCCATGGAGGCTTAGAGCAGAGCCGGCGCTCGGATAGCACCAGCTCTACATGAGCCCGCAGGGGAGATCCTGAGATCTCCCCTGCCGGTCTCACTCCATAGGCGTGCCGTGGGATTAGGGTGTGCCCAGGCACACCCGGCACACCCCATGCGCACGCCTATGAACATGGGTAAATGGTAGAGCCCCAGCTGCCAATGCATTGCTGGAGTTGCACGACAGATGGGGGTCTACCTTTTAATCAACTGTGCAATAGGGAGGCCCAAAAATATTCTTGCACCTCTCTACTTTAGGTCCGCCACTGCTTTGGGGTGGAGGATATGATTGCACACCTGGGGAGGGGGGACAGGTTCCAGGGGGCCAAAGCAACTGCTTTGCCCAAGGTCTAATCAATATTGAAGACGGCCCTGAATATATCACATTAGAGGGTCCTTACAAAAGCTGTCCAAGTAAAGTGAGTTTCAAATTCAATGTAAATATAGTCAGAATATTACATTTACTTTAAATTAATATACTATTTTCTGTTCCATCCAAAATAAAAATGTGGCTCAATTGTATTTATTGGTCCTGTATTTTGTGTATAAAACTTTGTCAGTAAAAACCCTCTTTATGTTATAACAGATTCTTTAACCAAGTATTTTAACATAGGTTAGAATTCAGCTGCCAGGTACCAAAGCCTCAGATGTGCTACTACAAGTGAAGAATATGTTTCTTGATCTGCGCACACCAAAGTAGTAAGTAATGCAAATTGAGTATTATTACTTTATTGAATCTCAATGGGACAAATTTAACCATGTGAGGGCCAAATTATTATTATTATTATTATCGCCATTTATATAGCGCCAACAGATTCCGTAGCGCTTTACAATATTATGAGAGGGGGGATTTAACTTGTAAAAACAATTACAAGAAAACTTACAGGAACGATAGGTTGAAGAGGACCCTGCTCAAATAAGCTTACAGTCTATAGTAGGTGGGGTGTAAAACACAATAGGACAGGAAATAGCAATCAAATAAGGTGGGAGGGAAGCAGAGCTGGAGGAGAGATTAGAGTGCTGCCATTTAGGAGAGAGCAAGTATGTAAGGTAGAGGTTACTCTGGGAGGGTTTAAATACCCTATCTGGATAAAACCAAAAAGCAAATGGTAAAACCCGGACTGGATTTATACATGAAATAAAAAGTAATAAGGGAGGTAAATCCTAACATATTAAAAAAAAATGTAAACAACAAACATGGATAATAACAACAATAATAAAAATAATAATGATGATTATATACATACAACAATTCGCGTCCCTGAATTCTTTAAAGTGTATCAGTACTTTCAAGATAGCGGTTTTAAGCACATTAGAACCAACGGAGTAAGGTCAGTATATACTGAAAAGACTCCATTAAGCACTAAGATAAAATTAATAGCATTTTAACCCCTTAAGACCGGAGGGCGTACAATTACACCCTATTTTAGGCGTCTCTAAACGCCGCCGGGTGTAATTGTACGCCCTCCGGTCTTTCATTGCTTACCCGGTGGCTGGCGGTCCCACGCCGGCGATCGCGGTGGGGGGGACTCCCAGGGAGGCCCCCCCCCCCGCGGTAGATCATCCTCCTCCGGTGCCCCCCGGCCATGTGAAAGTGAGGTCCTTGCGAGGACCCCACAATCACATGGCCGGGTAGGCTGCCTCCTGCATTGCCAGCAGGGGGCTGCCTGTAATGACAGGTAGTCCCCATGCTGGCTGGAAAAAGTGTAAAAAAAATAAAAAAATAAAAATATAAATATATATATATATATATATATATATATATATATATATATACACTTAGATCATATATATATTATATATATGATCTAAGTATATATATATATATATATACACATATACATACACACACGTACACTGTCTAGGTGTATTTTACTATAAATATATATATAATTATATATATTAATATCAAATTACATGTAGACTGATACTGATTAAATATATATATATAATTATTGTTATATATATATATATTTATATATAATATAAAAAAATTGAATATGTAAATATGTTAAAAAATAAAATTTAAAAAATAATTTAAAAAAATAATTAAAAAATATATAGATGTGTTATTTTGATTGGTTACGGTGCCTTTGAGACCCTATGTTAGCCCAAGAATGAAAATTACCCCTATGATGTCATACCATTTGCAATAGTAGACAACCCAAGGTATTGCAAACGGGGTATGTCCAGTCTTTTTTAGTAGCCACTTAGTCACAAACACTGGCCAAAATTGGCGTTTTTTTGCATTTTTCACACAAACAAATACTAACGCTAGCTTTGGCCAGTGTTTGTGACCAAATGGTTACTAAAAAAGACTGGACATACCCAATTTGCAATACATTGGGTTGTCTACTATTGCAAATGGTATGCCATTGTGGGTGTAAATTTCATTCCTGGGCTACTATAAAGTTCCAAAGTCAACGTAACCAATCTGGCTCATTTCAATTTCAAATGTAACGTGCTATATTTGACCCTGTAGGGGGTACTGTTTTACACGTGAGACTATGCTGAATACAAATATGTGTATTTTATTGCAGTAAAAGCAAACAGTATTATGACATTGACAGTTAAAATGTCATGTAGAACTAAAAAAATCTTATTTTCTCCCATTTTTTTCATATTAAATTATGTTTCATAGCTAAATATTTGATATTAAATGAAAGCCCTGTTTCCCCTGAATAAAATGATATATACTAAGGGTGGGTGCATTTAATATGAAAGAGGTGAATTACGGTTGGACAGACATGTAGCGCAAATGCCAGGTTTTGTTTACATTTTGTTTCGTTCACAACGTGTACATTTGGCTCCGTCCTTAAGGGGTTAATAATAACAAGTCCCCTAGTTAGATCGAAAATGGGTAGAGTGATTATTTACATACATCACTCTTAATTATAACATTTTTAGAGTATAGACAAATCCTCTGAAAGACAGTTATTTTAAAGCGAATATAACATAAAAGCTTTAAATTAATAAAACCTAGTGGCTTTCAATTAAGGAAATAAAAAGAAGAACATTAACATTTCATCATTTAGACAATAAGCCTCTTAGTGACAGAATGGGAACATAAAACCTATCGACGGATTTATTAGAACAATAATTATCTCTGACTTAATAATAAATTTCACACATATAGATGCGTATAACTTAAACATTAAATCTTAATATTAATTCCCTAGGTGGTCCATCACTAAGATAAGAAACAGTAACCACACCAAAAACAGCATTGGTATAGATCAGTGATGGCGAACCTTTTTGAGCCCGAGTCCCCAAACCGTAATACATGCCAATTTTTTTTCCCTCAAAGTGCCAAAACGGCAATTAAACCTGAATACTGAGGTTTAAGTTTAGAAAAAACAACTCATACAGTTGTCCGAACTAATTAACATCTCTGTGTGTGTATTAAGCAGTTTGTGTGTGTGCTCGGCAGTCTGTCTGTATGTGTATTTAGCAGTCTGTCTGTGTACTTAGCAGTCTGTCTGTATTTAGCAGACTGCGGAATACACACACAGACTGCTGAGTACACAGTCTGCTGAATACACACACAGACTGCTAAATACGCACAAACACAGACTGCCGAGTATACACACAGACTGCTAAATACACACACACACACACACACACCGCCTTATGGATGCGCCGGCGGAGCGCACCCTCCCTCCGGCGACCTATGGCCGCGTGCCACCTGTGGCACGCGTGCCATAGGTTTGCCATCACTGGTATAGATAATTATAACACTATAAGAATGACGGATCAAGTAAGAGTAGTAATGTAAAACATATACTGAATAGGGGGATGGAATCAGAGCATATAAGGAAGGGAAAATCTAAGGAATTGTGATCAACATGAGCTATGTTGGAATAATTCGAGCTCCTCATTCAGGCCATTCAGTGGTAAGGAATCTAACTTAAAGATTCATAAGGATTCTGCTCTAATAAGATCTCTCTTTCTTATGGCAGTATCTCTTATTAAAGGAATATGATCAATCCCCATCACTTTAATCAGAGTGTGGTCACTATTGTGAAACATTTAAAATGACGTGTGACTGGAGATCTTTTGTCCTTATTCAATATAGCTAATCTATGCTCCCTAAATCTAAATTTTAGAGGTCTGGTGGTTTGACCTACATAATGTTGGCCACGAGGGCAAATCAAAAGATATATTACAAAAGAAGTATTGCAAGTGATCTTATGTGCCACAAAAAACGTTTCCTCTCCCTTATATGCCATTCTACCTGTGTATGATTTACTGAGAAAATTGTAGGTTAAAAAGTAACTTTTAATAAATAAATCTAAAATAAAAATATATAAAAAAGAAAAAAAATATAATATGAACAGCAGGAGTAGTCATCTTGAACCAAAACCATCACCTAAGACATGGCTACAAGAA